AGAATCCCTCATTTTCCATTTCTTAATTAGAGTTTGAACACTGCTGATTGACATTCTCAAGTCCTTGGATATCTTTTTATATCCCTTTCTTGTTTTATACAGTTCAACTACCTTTTCCCGCAGATCCTTTGACAATTCTTTTGCTTTCCCCATGACTCAGAATCCAGAAACGTCAGTGCAGCACTGGATGAAAGATGCAAGGGTCTGTCAGGAGCCCAGAAACTCACTGACCTTTTATACACACACACTGATTACAAGCAAACAGATCACAAGTGAGGATGGTTACCTTAAGTAGCCATTCAAACCCGTTTGTGTCAACTTGTGTGCATGTTATCAGGCCAAAATCTCCAGGGTATGTAAACTTTTGATCAGGGTCATTTGGGTAGTTTCTATTGCCATTATGATTCAAAAAGAGGAAACACAGTTGTTTGACAATAAATAGCTTCACCCAACCACTAACCATGAGGGGAAAAAAAGTTTTTCTCTTATCATTCATATTCTCTGAAAAATTGCCAAAAAATCACAAATTCTGCCAGGGTATGTAAACTTATGAGCACAACTGGTATGAGCTTATCGCACAGACTTTGAGTACTTTGATTAGCGTTTCAGAATTTCTGATGAAACAAGAACACACAGCTCTATCAGTCTCTGTCACTCACGCCTTCTCTCTCTCTAACTAACTAATTCAACATAGGCCGCACATTGACCGCATGTCAGCATGTCAGCATGTCAGCAGTGCAGCGGTTAGAGCACAATCATGAAAGAAAAAGAGACTTAAAGGCTTAAAAGACACTTTGGGTTGAAGTTACATGCGGAAACCTGAAGTTAAAAATGTAAGATGTAGGAATGTATTTGTTCCAACAGGCACACGAGTGGGTGATTCTTGGCTACTTTGGGTCAAAATAACTCCAAAACATGCTGAGACACAACCATCGCTGGAATATTATTACATCATCAGGTTGATCTGGCAACATGAACAACTTTCTGGCTAAGCACTTGCCAACTTCTAAGTGTCTAAATGTGTTTCTTGTCACCTGACCATTGTGAATCCAATATTCATTCGCCTTTTAGCTCTAGTGTGGTCTCAAATCCTCAGAAAAATATCTAGGTATTTAGCTTGCTAGATGGTTGACTTTTTTCACAAGCCAATTGCTTAGTGCTGCCCAAAGCACATATAATATGTATGCCTTAAATGAATGACCTCTTCAACAGGAGATGGGACTTCTGACAGCAGCTGAGATTCATCCAGTTTTACCAATACAGGACTGATGATAAAACCAAAACTGTGATCTAAAGGTGAAAAACAGAAAGAGCACTGAGCTGCATAATAATCCATTTCTGGATTAATCACCACCTATGACTGCTGTCATATTACACAGCCATTTGATTGTTTCAAAATATTAAAATGCTAGACTTAAACATACTGTAGATCCTAATTATCATAGCCCTATTAAAGTATGATAATCCACCGGAAAACAAAAGGCATAATTGTAAAAAAAAAAAAAAAAAGTCAAATGTCAGATACAAGCATTTAAAATCCAATTCTTAATACCACGCAGACAGACATTCCTTGCATTCTAAAGGGAAGCCAGAAATTAAAACAAAGGAGGCGCACCCAAGAATACCTTCCTGTCTCAAAGACTGGGTGAAACTAGTTACAGATATTTTTCCTTGCCACTCCTGTCTGGGTTAGACGGTCCCTCACTTACTTTAAGACACTAAAACAAGTTTTTCCCACACACTCTCCTTCCTTCATTCTGGAAAACATTATGTCAGGAGGCCAATAACAGACACTGTACATACCAGACATAGCAGCATGCCAAGCTGACTAAAATAAAGGTCTTCCTTTCAACTAACCCTAACCCTTTCACCAGTATTTTTGCAGATAAGTATAAACACACATGCACACATAATTACCTGTGTCCGTTGCAGCAGATCTCAGTTTGAGGCTGGTAGATTTCTGTCCCACAGCAGTGTTGTCCAGGGGAGCCATGAAACCGAGAGCAACATATTGTCCCTTTAGCTGGGTTGTAAGGAATACTGATCTCTGAACATTCCTCTCCATCCAAGCCATTATTACAACACAGAACTCCACTTTGTGCCAAGCCATACAGTGTCTGTTTGCAGCACTTAGAAGAATCAGAGAAAATACAGCTTAGTGTTTATAAGCAGGCACAGACATACACACATTCAAATGCACATATGGGAACATGTGTATGTATAGCTTTTGTCAAAAATCTGAGGAAAAATGCAAGTCAGAGACACACAACTTTTGCTAATTTTAATTTCACATGTAAATGTGTACAATATGTCTTACCAGGGCATTGCTCTATCATCCTTTGGCGTATGCAGTTAACAATAATGATGCTTACTTTAGCAGGTCTTCTCATCCTTCGATCAAAATTGCCCTCACTTATCATATAAAAGGAGCTGGGTGGAGCTCCGAGCTCTCCCAATGAAGCTGCACCAAAGCAGCAGTTTTGTTGACAGTAAGAACTACGACACATTATTAGCTCTCAAACTAATAAAGAATAATTTGTTTTGATTATTTTAAACAAATGTGCTATATTTATTTATTTTTTTGCCACACAAAAAAAAGAGTTTTTTTTCTCAGAAGTTCAGAGAAAAACTGTTGACCTTTGCAGGAAAAAAAAAAGATTAAACCCAGCTAAATGTCAGAAGTACATTACTTGATCTATCCAAGGCTTCCGCTCAGATACACAGCCATCACAGCAGACTTGGGTACGTGGGTTATACACTGTGGGGGTGGCATCACATTGACCTAAACAGATGCAGTGGGGATTGGAAGGTGGATAGAGAACAAAGCAGTTACTTCAAGAGGGGAGTCCCATAGAGCTTGTGCGGATAAATGATGTCAATCAAAGATGACTCAGGATATGAGAGATACAAGATAATAACATTTATGGAGCTGTGAGAAAATTGGCACTTACAGTTTAGATTATTATTTCTCCACTCAAGTCAGAGCCTGTCCTCTAACCTCTGGAGTGCAAATAGTTGGAAACTTTGTGTGGTTTCCTAGTGTCATTCTTTATTGCAAACAATATTAAATGAAGGGGTGATGGGGAAAAAACTGAAGCAGTAGTGAACTGACAGGGTGGGGAATCTGCAGATTCCCTCTCTGTGAAAACAACTTCAGGCAGTCACCCATCTGAAATAACACATCTGCCCGGTTTTACTTCACATACAGCTAACTAAAACACTACAGATAATGAGGTTCTCCCACTCTTTTTTCCCACTAATAAAACAGTCTGGTTGGATGATCCTTACTTCAGTGTAGGGGTGAGAATTGATGTTACATATCCTCGTGGCCCACATTAATGGTGTGATTTGTACGGCAGACATGTTATCTCAAAGTGGTTTACTGCTTAAAGATTGGGAGCTGCCTGTATCCATGGTGCAGATGCTTCTTAAAAGCACTTTGTCTATCCTTAGTCATTTCCCACATATGCTACCCATCTTCCCTGATATCAATATAGTGAATAGAAAATGTTTTCATATGTCAGTGTTTACAACTATACATGCTTAACTTCTTCAGTGCACAGTAGTCATTTGGTTTTAGGTATGAAGCTGTTATCTCACAGAAAAAACATCACTCCTCATTATGTGTAGAATTTGACATTGTCCTCATAGGAAAAACAACAGCATTTGTCACTGTTCAAATCTCTGAAACAACCTGTGTTTACATTAACCTAACCTTTAGGGGTGTGTATAGTATCAATAATCAACATTGCTTTCTTTTACACATCACCGCAATCTTTCCCTGATCTTAACCATGTAGTTTTTGTGCCTAAACCTAACCAAATCCTCACAATAGCTGTGGCGGATCAGCAGTCATATGAATATGTTTTCATATATATTTTAGTAGACTGTTACGTCATCTTCATCTTACTGTAACAGAAACAAGGAAAGACTAAAAGACAGGTGCCATGACACCAGGGTCCTGTTTCAGAAAACAGGTTTCATGGAAACTCTGGGTTTGTTAACCCTGAGATGAGGGTTTCCATGCCTGGAAGAGAGGTAACTAATCTAACCTGCTTGCTGGCAGGATTTCTTAAACACACCCAGTTTCTCCTCCTCTCATGCCTGACAATCCGTTTCTTTCCATCATTCATTCAAAGTCGATATCAAAGTAAACATCGGACCGCATTAATTTGGAGAGGTTTATATGAAGTATATATCTTCTGCTTCCAGCGGCACTTTGTTCCCATCAGGTTACAACTTAATAAATATATATGTATGATTTCAGTGGCATCCATTAAGGAAATTAAAGTCTGCAAGATAATGTGGTCTAGTGGCCTATGCTGAATAAAATGTAATAGTCTTAATTAACTTTTCCCCAACTCAGGCTCTTTCACTGTTGCTGTTTATTAAAGATAATTGTGCATTGCCCATTGCCTCATCATCTTTCTCGTCTAATCTTTTTGTTCCACTTACAGAAAAAACAGAGGCTCTGCTCCTTATTTACCTATTATCATGGTGAATTGCAGTATCTGAGTTTGATTGCCAATGGCTATTTTTTCATTCAACCACATGCACACTTGGCTCAGAATCAAGTGTCAAGTTGATGTCACACCCATGGCACCATCAGATAACAACCGACAGACTGTTTTAACATTTACACTCCCACGAAAACACATAATGGAGTCATACCTGGGCGGCAGCACCAATGAGGCTTTGTCTGGTTTCTCTCACAGCAGTGAAATTCTTTGGGGTTGTACAATGATGACCCACAGAGACTTGTTTCTGCATCATTGCTGTGGATGTGCAAAGATGAGCAAAAATAAACATAAAAACAGTCCACATCATAGTCAGACAACACAAATCATGGGCACACAATTCTTTGGACAGCATTGACTTAATTGACCTTAAAAATTACCAAAACATTGAATACACTAAAAGTCATACTAGCAACAATGCAGTAACAGGGTTAAATGTTCTCTGTGGTATCTTTGACGTTTTAGTAGTGCTGTGTAGCAGTCCTATGAGTAGGTCTCCGTTTTGTTTATCCTGTGCACATGCGCAACGAAGCACATACACATGTACATGCATGCAGTTTGCACAATACACATTCTTGCCAGTTTCATAGTATTCCACTAATTTACAGGTGGCACTAATGTGGCAAAAACCACAGCCCTGCACCAACAAAGTCAGATAAGAAGATTGTTAGATAGTAAAGATGTATGGAAACTCGGTTTTGCAAACATTTTATGACGAGGGAAATGCATTCAACATGTCTATCAGACTTCACACAATTCTGGTGAGTATGTATGTATGTATCCTACATTGCTTTGTACATCTCCCAATAAATTTGAAACAGTATAAGGGTAAAACCTGAGCTCACTGTCTTTAACATTGGTGCAAAATAACCATATATTAGTTTGGGTAGCAACCGAGCAGTTCTATTAAACCAGACTACATCAAAACATAGTATGTGGCTGTATGTAGCCTATGGTCAAATCTTGATTTTATAACTGTGATATATAACAAAATCACCAAACACATAAATTAAAGACAAAGACTGTGCTGTGATTTTGGCTATATTTATAGTATTCACAGAGAAAGTTAGAGGAGACAGTTAAGTTATTTTTTCAGGCTTTTGTCTTTATTACTTTCATAGTGAGAGAGAGATGGGAAAATTGGGTAGAGAGAGAGGATGACACGCAGCAAAGGGCCACAGACCGGACTCGAACCTCGGTTGCCGTGGTAAGGGTTAAGTCAAAATCGAACTCCACTCTCCCTCCCTCCTCCCTCCCCCACTGCCTTTCTGAAATCAAATCCTGGTTCACCGCAAACTTCCTCAAATTAAACAGTGATAAAACTGAACTTCTTATTATCGGCACCAAATCCTCCCTATCCAAAGCTGACAGTTTTTCCCTCACCATAGACAGCTCCACAGTGTCCCCCTCCCCACAGGTTAAGAGTCTGGGTGTCATCCTCGACAGCTCACTTTCTTTCCACTCCCACATTAATAACATCACTCGGTCTGCATATTTCCATCTACGCAACATTAATCGTCTCTGCCCCTCTCTCACCCCTCATATCACTGCCATTCTAGTTCACACCCTCATCACCTCGCGTATTGATTATTGTAATTCACTCCTCTTCAGTGTCCCCCACAAATCCCTCCATAAGCTCCAACTGGTCCAAAACTCTGCAGCCCGTATCATCACCGAACCCCCTCCTTTCACCACATCATCGCTGTCCTCCAGCAGCTCCACTGGCTGCCCCCTAATAGAACCTGTTTGAGCCAGAAACTCCAACTCAGTGACGAGGCACTAGCTGACCAGTGGTTGAAATATAATCACTCAGTCAGTCAGTCAGTAGATCAGTCAGTCATTCCAGATTATAGGGTTGGCCCTACTCTTGCGGTCCAGCCAAAAAAAAAAAAATAACACTAACACTGGCTAAAAACAACTATTTGGTACTGGGTAAGTTTGGATAAATATTTTGTAGGTAAAACACTGTCAATATGTGACCACATGGTTTTTACTGTGAAGACTTAAGTGATGATTGTTCGTGTCACCACTGCAAAAAATAAAGTTGTGTGGGTCTCAATGTGATACTGTAGTTAAAACCTTTGGTTGACTTACCTTTGGGGCTGAGTTGCAAGAGTCTAAAAAGAAAAATACAAAAAATACAAAAATGTTTATGTCTCAAAGGGCATCAATAAGGCTTTAATTACACCAAAGTTTACACCAAATAAATAGATTTAAACAAATAAATAAATGGTAGATGTGTGAGATTATTGTTATAGTGCATACATTGTTTTGGGAATCTTACCTCACTTTTATGAGTGACGACAATTAGTGAGTCACATAAGCTGATAAAGGAAAAAAAAGTTTGTTTTCTTACCTGCGGTTCCACACCTGTGGACATAAAACACAAAACATTTTCAGTGCATGTGGGGGATCACCAGCATACCCCAGCAGAAATGTCAACATTTCTTCCAACTAGACAAAATGCAATACAAGACCATATGTGAATGACTCACACTCATCCACATTTGCCTTGTCTACGCTCTGAAAACTAGACAAAAAAACACCTTACCAACAAAAACTACTAAAATATATAAATATATAAATATTCAGCACAGTCAGTGACACACCTGCTTCTTCTTCACAGCAGCTGGAATTAATGAGTCGTATTTTAAGATTGTCATCAATCGAACAGCAGCACTCAGTCTTATTGTCATACTGGTCATGACCACAGCACTGGTGATGACTGGACTTCCTAGCCAGGATCTTCTTGTTGTAAATCGAACCACAACACAGCTGATTGTCCACATCAAAAGCCACTGTGGAAAAAATAAGTGTACTTTATGGCACAACTGAGATGATTCAACTTTACATTCTTTGTTTTGCCAAAGTTTAAAGGTGGGTCTCATGATATTTGTTGCAGTTCTACTCACCATTACCACAATTTTGCATCTTAAGTGACTGACTGGGTGATTTCTTGAGTGGGTTGTTGGGGTTCATTGACATATTTTCCATTACAGACTGTGGGATCTGAGCTGTAAAGGCAAAGATCAAGTCAACATGCAGGCACCAGTTCTATGATTTCCATGAAAATGTGAGTTGCATGAAGGCCCCCACATGCTGAGGTATTTTCATGTCTCATCTGAAAATTGACAATCATGACAGAAGTGCTAAAATCTTTGGTTGTGAATCTTCAACGGAAAGTAAGACATTTTTGCAATGTAACATCTACAAACCAACTGATTTGAACGCAGCATGGAATTATAGAAAACACCAGCCAATGCTTCACACTGTACATATATGAACATGCAAATACTACATGGGCATGTATGCACAGTATTGTATCTATTATAAACACCATTTTTGATTAAGTCAGAAAAAAAAACTCCAGAACAAAAGCCAAAGTTGTTTCTGCATAATTTTTAGAACATGACAATGGTGCAGATGGAGTTAAAGAGCTGTGACTAAAGAGGCATCCATTGCTCTATCTGACATTCCTCAGGACTAATATACAGTCAAATGTAAATTGCAACTAAGGTTTCAATAATGTGTTAAACTGACAATAGATCAGTCTGGCACAGTGTGACGTGTTAAACTTGTAAGGCTGTATCACGCAGTGTATAGTGGCCTTAAGAGTTGCCCTTCAGTTGTACCTGTGTCCTCTACACAGCAACTTGAATTCATGTGTTGTATCTCAAGAACTCCATTCATCGGACAGCAGCAATGAGTGATGGTGTTAAACTGGTCATAACCACAGCACTGGTGGTGATTGGATGTCCTCGCCATGACCTTCTTTTTATTAGTGAGACCACAACACAGCTGTTTCTCCTCATGAATAGTCTCTGTGGAAAAGATCAGTTTGGTTCTTTGAACTGTATCACTTTTACACCCCTTTACTTTTTAACCCCTGCAGACCACAAGTGTTGAAAAGAACACATGTTGCATACACTGTGGGAATGGTAGAAATTACAATGACAAAGCCTAAAAAACTGTATTTTGTAAGTGTACACTGTATGTTTATATGATGTTTTAATTCCATTAGGTGTGTCTAACTCCACTCACCGTTACCACAACATTGGGCCTTTGGCACAGGTTTGGCTAAAACAGTTGACTGACAGCATATTTCATTAAGTGGGCTGTAGGCGTCTAGTCCACAACAAGCTGACACCTTTTGACTCAGACCCAGAGTAACTTTACCTGTAAGAACAGAGATCAACTGAAGAGACAGACACCAGCACCAACAACAATAAAGAACATCCAGTGAGCAGCAGCAGTATTATGTATCTACTAAAATGGTGACTGGTTGTATTTGTTGAATTAAATATTAAACAGATTATTGATAGCATAGATAGTTTATGAACCTCTTTCCACAGGAAACAGAATTCAGTATTCAATACCATGTTGTTTAGACTGTTGCCAACATTCACTTGTCAGTCATGGAGTTCCACAGAGGATTTTTATGTGAATTGTGTAGTTCTGCATTCCTTGTATTCATTTAGGTTACATAATACATACTTTCATTTTGATGACAAAATCATAAAACCACAAAAATAGTGGATTAGTAACACAGAGATGCGCTTGGTTAATTTCTTCATTCAACACATGAAGGGACGTTGTATCAAGCTCTAAAACATCTGTATATAATTCTGTATATTGGTTATTTTCACCTGGTTGGATTTGATGACATCATTGGGCTATCTTTAACCGTGTGAACTGATCATGTGTTTAATAGATTCCCTACTTATACTTTAAGCATCATACTGCTGTTTCATATTTAAAGTCGGTTATGATGCAATCATCACATTGTCTCCTGCTTTGTCTAGAGACAAGTCCGCATAGATTTGTTGCTGATGTCAGAGGAAGAGTGATGTAGCAACAAGTTGTAATCCAGGGCAAATGTAAATTGAAGCCTTTTTCTGTTCTTCATGCTATTAAGCGCTTTTATTTATTTTATTAAATTCTCTCACTTTTCACCACATTTAACAGCTCCCCTCTCATTCATTTTTTTGAATAATCACAAAACCAACATTCCCATTTCTAGCTGGTTTCACACAAATGTGTGGCTGTTACCTTCACAACAAGTCGCTGCAGTAGGGTTGAAAGCCAGTTCTCCACAACATGACAGCCCTGCCCCTGGATGAAGTCGATTCTCACAACACACAGCCTCGCGGATATCATACTGTACTCCCTTGCAAGTTTTTCTACAAGACACAGATACCATATTACATGCTATTATCGCTCACATTAGCATTACGTTAGCATAAATAGTTATTTTACAGTTCCTGTAATGCCAATGTACATCTCACTTATCCTTTGCAATACCGCCCTCTGATGGACTTCAGTGAAAACACTCTCAACTAGTTACAGAGGTATCCATAATATACAGTACATATGTACAGTATTTACTTGTACATACAAGCATTTCCTTGCTGTGCCTGTGAATGTATCACAGAGGAGAAAACATGACCTAGTCGATCACCGCAAATGGTCAGTAATGTTGAAAGCCAACTAGACTAACTAGTATTGTGTCGACCTTTAGTCATACATATGGCATGGATGTTTAATGTTTAGAGACCTCCATTTTTCCAGTTTTTACTGAAGTTTGAATAATGTAATGTGTCAGTGTACTCTGAAATTAAATCATAGAACTAAAAGTTTTGAACAAACAGTACCCATGGAATGTTGTTCAGTTCAGTTGTTCTTTCTACAATGGAAATCATATATGGTTCAGACAGTTAACCCCAACACTGTTGCAGAGGTACCCACGAATGTGTTGCACTTGTAGTTGGCTTTGCTTTCACATTCTGTCCAGTTTATCCCAAGCCAGCTCCACAGGGTTTAAGTCTGCCTTCGTACATACAGAGGGTTTGTAAGTCATCAACATTTCTCTCAAAGACTATTTGGACTAGACAAACCAAACTTTTATATATCAAACCTAACATTAAAAGATCATTACATGTTACATTTCATTCACAAGATTTATTTGAATGGAAGAATTTAGATGTGACATCTGACTCCAACCGACGGTTTGCGACATCAAAATATGCAACAAAAGAAAGCAACCAAAGAACAGTTACTGAGTTTTTTTATATAGGTCTACCTTGAGTCAAAATAGGTACAGCTTATTTGTTTTATTTCTTATGATAAACTTTACAGGCAAATATATTAGAAGGGCCATGAAAGGCTAACAAAGTCATTCCCAAAATAACATGTTTGTATTCTGTTATACGTTATAAGCAACAATTAGGAATTATTGTTGCATCTTTTGTGCTATGGGACAAAATCAGCTCTATATATTGCCCAATTTTAACAGAAAATGTTGAAAAATACCGTTGTGTGGTCTGTTTTGATATGGCTGCTTAGCTTGGAGACAGTTACCTTTACTTGTTGCAACTGTCCCCACCCTATCAGCCATGGCAGAACATCATGTTCTACCTAAATATACTGACCTTGACACACACACTAACCATGTCACTTAGAAGTCAACAAAACAATGATTCAAACTAAGTAAGTTTTGATTAATTCAGACAACAGCTCAGGGCAGTTTGACAAAAATGTGACAACTCATGAAAAAATGATCGAACTGAAAGCACAGTATGATCGGTCTACCCGTGTCCTCACATGCATTTACAGGCCAGCAACGTGCAGATGATTGTTCACTTAAGATTGCGTGGATTTTGGCGCAACACAAGAAAGCATTCAGCGATGGGACAGTGGTGAAGGAGTGCTTAAATGCGGCTGCAGAGACTTTACTTGACGGTAAAAAAACGACATGTGTGGAAAAAATCAAGCAAATCTCATTGTCAGCTTCAACAACAACCAACAAGAAAATCTGAACTATTAGCAGAAGATGTACTGGCACAGCTTGATGCAGCTGTTCAAAACGCAGTATGTGTCACGTTTTTCTGTCACATTTTGCCATGGCAAACACTTTTTGTTAGTTTTGTTTTGAAATCTTTGCACTTCCTGTTTTATTTTGTATTGGTTTCCTTGTGTGTCTGTGTTTTGCTTCTTGTCTTGGTCTTGTTTTTGTGTAGTAATTGTCTGCCCCGCCCTAATGTGTTTCACCTGTGTTTAATCACCCTCGCCTCCCTTGTCTATATAGTCTTTGTGCTTCCCTTTGTCATTGTCAGATCGTCTGTTGTTTAACGGCTGTAGTTACCTGTTTTTTCCCTGTTGTTTTTTCCTGTTGTCTTGCTGTTTTGCTCATGCCTGTTCATGTCACGTTCATGTCACGTCACGTCACGTTCAAGTCTGGATTTTGCTAAATAAACCTGCCTGCACCGTCTCCCACGCGTTGGCTGCATCTGGGTTCAACTTACCGTAATCACCTGACAGTATGCATTTCCTTAGCCATTGATGAGTCCACAGATGTAACAGATAATGCCCAGCTTTTGGTGTATGTGAGATTTCTTCACAAAGAGAAGAAAGAGATGTGTGAGGACCTGTTGGGTTTAACTTGAGACACATACAAGAGGAGGGGATATATATGAGGGGATAAAGGAGATGCTCACAAAAAGAAAGATTAATCTGAAGCAAGTAGTGTCAGTCACCACGGATGGTGCACCTGCCATGGTTGGTAGAGAGAAGGGGGCTGTGGCACGGATGAAACAAGACAACCCTGATCTCATAGCCTACCACTGTATCATCCATCAGACTGTTCTCTGTGCCATTCTGTCTGAAGAGTTTGCTGAAGTAATGAATACCATGATGAGACTCATCAACTTCCTCAGGGCATCCTCATCCCATCAGCATCGACTGCTGAGAGAATTTCTGAAAGAAATGGAGGCAGATGCGAATGACCTACTACTCCACAACAACGTGAGATGGCTAAGCAAAGGGAATGCACTGGGATGCTTCTGTTCCATCCAAAAGGAAATAGCTGCTTTCTTACAGCAGCTCAAGAGACAAAACGCAACACAGTTTGCAAACTTTTTGCAAGATAACAAGATGGATGCGGTGGCTTTTTTGTTGGACATCACAGGACACCTTAATAAGCTCAATTTAAAGCTGCAGGGTCAGAAAAATTCTGTCTGTGATATGATGAAAACTGTCCGCTCCTTCCAGATGAAGCTGGACATTTTTTAAAGAAGATCTCCAAGGAGAGTGTGAGCACTTCCCACAAATGCAACACAAATTCCCACACCCCACAAATTCAGGGTAAGAGAGACATTTCCCCTTATGTCAGCTTCATAGACAAGCTGATTGGAAACTTCTGTCATCGATTTGACAGCTTCAACCTTGGACACCAGCTCCTCCTGCTAATCGAGAATCCATTCCTTATCAGAGAAATCAGAGGATTTTCAAAGGAGGTGACACAGACCTTCAAGTGGGCACATCCTGGATCTTTACAGTTAGAGCTCACTGATCTGCAAGCAGAGTTGCTCTGAGAGAGCATTTGAAAACAACTGACTCTGCCTATTTCTGGTTACAGATTGTGCCTGAATCCATTTTTCCTGGTCTAACCAAAGTAGCACTACACACCTTAACCATGTTTGGATCAACTTACAGCTGTGAGACAGCTTTCTTACGATGAACATTATTAAAACAAGTACTGTTCCAGGCTTACCAATGAGCATCTCCACATGAGCATGAGAATGGCACTAATCCCATTTAAGCCAAGATTCAAACTGCTGGCAGGAAATTTACATGCCACATTTCTCTCACTAGGAAAGGGAAATTTGGAAAAGGAGGGAAGGAGAGGAGAGAGGAGAAAGGGCAGCTGTTCAAAGTCTGCACTTTTCCTTTTGCTCAGTAAATATTGCCCTGTTCTTTTTTACTGGAAATGTAGGCAATGAAGGCTTCCTGTGGTTATTTTTATTTTAAATTGTAGTTAATACATGTTTAAAAAAGGGGGTGGGCAGCTCAAAGGTCTTTTGTTTACATTTTTTCTTAAAGATGCACTTTTATTTTATTAAAAGATTCTGAATGTTTTTACATTACTCTAAGTTCAGGCTGCCAAAGCTGTGCTTTGCCATTTTATTTATTTTATTCAGAAGAAATCAGTTACTTGAAATGTAGTAAAGACAACTACAGTAATGTTTTCCATTCAGTGCCATAGAAGTTCAGACTTATCGGTATGTTTAAAGTATATCGAAAACACTAAATTTGACCAATTAAATGATATAGAAAAGTGTCTGTGAATGTTCTCATTCGTTCCAGGTCTAGTTATCTCTCTCAATTAAATCGAAAGGCAACTGGACTTGTATTGTCTGTGGAAGACGTTTCGCCTCTTATCCAAGCGGCTTCATCAGTTCATTCATGTATTGGTCTCTCTAGTCCGCACTAGTCTGACCAAGCAAATGGAGAAAACCCAGGTATTGAACCTCTTTGTGGGTGGGTCCACCAAAGTACCTGTGAAAGTACTGGTTTCACCTGACATTGTTGTGGTCTCATGTGGATTGACCGTCGTTAGGGGTCAGGTGACCCTGTTGTTGTTCCCTGTGAACGACAGTCGTTAGGGTCAGGTGGCCCCTGGTGGATGACGATCGTTGAGAGTCGTCTGAGGTTATGTTGTTGACCCTCCTGGGTACCGATGAAAGGGCGACATTGTAGATGGGGGATAGATGGTGTCGCAGACCACCTCCCCTGTTTAGCGATGGCCTCTCCACTTTTACATAGATGGCTTCCTTGACTCCCCTTTCAAACCATCTGTCCTCCCTGTCCAAGATTTTGACATTGCTGTCTTCAAAGGAGTGTGCCTTTTCCTTTAGGTGGGAGTAGACAGCTGAGACAGGGCCTGAAGAGTTTGCCCTCCTGTGTTGGGCCATACGTTTGTTTAAAGGTTGTTTAGTTTCCCCAATATATAGGTCATTGCAATCCTCACTGCATTTGACCGCATATATCAGGTTGCTTTTCTGATTGTGTGGTGTTTTGTCTTTTGGGTGTACCAGTTTCTGCCTGAGTGTGTTAGTTAAAGAGAAACAACAACACGCTCCAGAAAGAATACCAACATGGAGGATGCTGAGAAAATGCAAGATAAACGCAGAAATATAGTCATTCCATACGTGTCTGGGGTCTCAGAGAAACTCCGGAGGATTTTTAACAAACATCAAATCCCTGTATGTTTCAAACCCAGTAACACACTCAGGCAGAAACTGGTACACCCCAAAGACAAAACACCACACAATCAGAAAAGCAACCTGATATATGCGGTCAAATGCAGTGAGGATTGCAATGACCTATATATTGGGGGAACTAAACAACCTTTAAACAAACGTATGGCCCAACACAGGAGGGCAAACTCTTCAGGCCCTGTCTCAGCTGTCTACTCCCACCTAAAGGAAAAGGCACACTCCTTTGAAGACAGCAATGTCAAAATCTTGGACAGGGAGGACAGATGGTTTGAAAGGGGAGTCAAGGAAGCCATCTATGTAAAAGTGGAGAGGCCATCGCTAAACAGGGGAGGTGGTCTGCGACACCATCTATCCCCCATCTACAATGTCGCCCTTTCATCGGTACCCAGGAGGGTCAACAACATAACCTCAGACGACTCTCAACGATCGTCATCCACCAGGGGCTCACCTGACCCTAACGACTGTCGTTCACAGGGGACAACAACAGGGTCACCTGACCCCTAACGACGGTCGTCCACATGAGACCACAACAATGGTCAGGTGAAACCAGTACTTTCACAGGTACTTTGGTGGACCCACCCACAAGAGGTTCAATACCTGGGTCTTTCTCCATTTGCTTGGTCAGACTAGTGCGGACTAGAGAGACCAATACATGATGAACTGATGAAGCCGCTTGGATAAGAGGCGAAACGTCTTCCACAGACAAATACAAGTCCAGTTGCCTTCGATTTAATTTGAGAGAGAGATATAGAAAAGTGCGTATGTTGTTTTTTATTTACATCAGGGTACACTATTTCAAGTGACAATATAAGATTCGGACTTTGCTGGGAGGACATTTTTGTAACTGGACCTTTTTGAATTTTAATTGAATACCCCTGCACTAGAGGAAAGCTCATAGGGTCATTGGACACATAAGGATGGATCTTTTGGTAACTATTAATATGCCAACTTGTATTGCAATACAGGCTTCAGGATTTGGGATATCATGGCCCCAAAAGTTGTTGAGATTTTGACCTGGGGCATTAGGTCAGGAATGATCAAAATCAATCATTAAGAATAATCCTCCAGATTCACTACACTTGTCTGTTCTTGTAAGGATCTTTGCTGACACATTGCTCTCCTTACCATAACCTGAACCACACACACACGCGCGCGCGCGCAAAGAACGCTCAAGGCAAAACTCACCGGTAGTTGCAGTCTAGTCTCTTAGAACCTGCGTTAGTGCCCACGTGAGACTCTGTCAAAAAACACAATAGTTTCAATTTGAGTCATCAGGTAAAATCTGTTCATGCAATCCACACTTTTTTTGTTTGTCTTTGTTAAAATGCAATGACCTAATTGACATGTTACGTTTAACTGTTTATCTGTGTGTGGCCATCCACGCATAGTTACAGTAGGAAACAGGATGTTTAGTGTAAATGGTGATTTCCTGCTGAGGACTGCTCTCAAGCGCTTCTCGACCTAGTTCAGGGGCATAAGTCAGGCGGTGGTCAGACCTCCACACCTTTACCTCACGCTGCCCGTTATCTTTTCACTTGCCGCGCACGGCATGATCAACAAGCTCGGATCGGGGTTTCCCATTTTAACAAGCAAGGGGAAAAAAACATAGTAAATACCATCCTGAACCACATGCCATAAAAGAAAGAAAGAAAAATATATATATCTTCGGACGTTTTATGACCTTGAGACGTGCTGCGTAAAACCCTCTACCATCTCCATCTAGTGCTGGACTCAGGTCACACACAGGCCAATATATTTCAAAATGGGAGCTCATCATGCACACAGTGAGAAACTGTGCAAACAACAAGACTAAAGAAACCTCAGAGACTGCAGTATGCAGAATTAGGACATTTCTACCCGGAATTCCACCACCTCCAACAATCTTCCCACGGCCACTGCAGTCGACCTCTCTTTCTTTCTTTCTCTCTCTCTCTCTCTCACACACACACACACACACACACACACACACACACACACACACACACAGGAGCGGTAGTTTAAGTAGCATCCCAACAAGGACTTGGAAAAAAAACAAAGAAAAAATCCACCAGAGAAACTAACAATGAGTTAGTGATCAAGTGTCCCCTGTGGCTGGAGATTAATCAAGGAAACTGAGTGAATTACTTACCACACACACAGGTGAAGCCGTAAATCAGCCACCCTAAAAGAATGTAACCAGATAATTATAATGTTGATTGTAAACTGTCACTGGTAGTTACAAATTCCATCATTTGTTGAGAGACAGCCTACCTAATCCGAGAAACCAAAGCAGAGACATCACGGAGCTTTTTTGGACCATTTGACAGTCTGCTGCACCCCAGTGTGATCCAAACAGATTAAATAAATAGACTAACAATAGCCACGCCCACATGATAACATCTAAAAATATGACACTATAAATATGTGGTTTCAAGGTGAAGTGTGCGCCATAGGCGAAGTCAAACCTCAGGATATAGCCTTCATAGACTACATGCAAGTATTTTGTTCTGAAATGTAGAGGAGTAGTACAAAGTTGTGCTTAACTGTACTCATTACAATAAATGTAGCCCACTTGTTTACCACTGCGCACAGAGGGCACCCAGCTGCACGACCTTTTTGAATTTGTACAATAATAAACTTACATGTTAACATAAAGCTTTTGCTCTGCTTAACACATGCTATCGGACCACATCTAAGTTGAAACGGTCTTTCATGAAAACCGCCTGATGATTGTGCCATTTGTCCTGTCTGATGAGTAAAGCAGATAGCCTACATGTTTATATGGGTTTTATTGAAATGTATGTGTTTCTAAAGAGTTTCCACATATGTGTTTTACAGAACTACAATGTAGCCTACATTTTAAAACATGAACTGACTGGAGGCGAGTGAATAATAAACTCTTTATCATATTATCACACAAGTATCAAACACAGCACGGATGTCTTGCCTTTTGATGCTTTGCTCCTGTCTAACGAAAGGAATCTAAAGTGGGACTGCCTGATTTTTCTGTGGCTGATCCAGCTGAGTCCATTCCTGTACGTGGCAGTGGTTTCCAAGTTGAATCTTTTATTTTCGTTTAATCCTGAGGTGCTGGGAAACATTGACCCGTAAGTAGCCTGTTTATATCTTTGGTGGACCCTATTAAACCCGCTTCGTGATATCTTGTTGACTTGCCATCTGCTGATCTAACTGATGGTTTCCATACAAAGCCATGAGCAAGAATGGAAATTATCCTCAAGTAAGCTGTAAGTAGCCCCCACACACACTGTAACAAATGCCTGGAAATTTCGACAGTACAATCCTGTTATCGTTAAATGAGACAAAAGTTGATTTTTTTGCCCCCCTCTTCATCCTTCAAATGAATAGGTGAGTGCCCCTTTGCCCTGCTTGTTAGCATTTGCAAAATACATCACATTTTCAATCAAGTTGTATTGATTATCTAGTAGAATGCCATTAAACAAGGGGAGTTATTTTACTTGTAATGTTAGTCTTAAAGCAAGAGATCTCCTCCTGACTTATCTTTATGTTTAGGATTATTTCGCTAAAATGAACTGTATTCAGAGTGAATGTAAAGAGCATTGGACTTGAATTAAGTTTAAATCATAGGGACTGCAGATGGAAATTAGCCGCTTGGCTATAATCTGTCATATTCACATGTATATGTTCATTAATATGTACTGTCCCTTGTTTTTAAATAAATAAACTCCAAACTCCAAATAGCTGTACAGTTGCTAACTGGGAAAACCTCCCCCTGTTGCGATCTGAAAACGTTGGTAACACTGTAATGGTAACTTTTTATGACCCGTTTCACTGGCAGTTTCTCCTTGTGGCAGAGAGAGGAGCTGAACTCTGATCCAGATCCTCCAAACTACAGGACGAGTTTCATCTTAACTTTACTTTGTGTTAGCATCTGCTTAGTACACGTCTCCAAAGGACGCTGCTGATTTTATTTAGATAACGTTACTTTACTGTTGGGACTGAATTGACCGGGAGCTTGTTTGCTAATGTTAGCAAGCTTCCTAAACTGTCATCATATGTTACTTTCACTATAATTACACTGAAATGTATTACACTAATGTGGCTGTTCAACACGGTTCAGTTCTATATCATAACACCTTATAATGTATATAAGAAAAAGAAAATGACTCATCTATGAATGGGTGGAGGGATTTCAGTTTCCCTGGTACATATCATTTGCAGTGTGACTGTTTTTTCTTTGTCAAGTTTCAGGCGACACACCAGGAAGTTGTATTCACCACTTCATGATCAGCACTGAGGGGACCTTTGTGAGAGCACCCAGCCAGCTGGCCGCGCTCGCTGCAGTCTTTTCTACACTGTAAATAATTTTCCTGTAAAATAACAGTAAAGAACTGGCAGCAGGGACGCCAGCAATATACTGTAATTTTACGGTATTCATACTGTAAATTTACTTTACAGTAATGGCTGTAAACCAGAAATACAGTATATTTCTGTATTCAAACTGTTAATTGATTTCACAGTCTAATACAATAAAAAAAATAAAAATAAATGCAGCTTATTTTTATGATTATTTGGAAATTACAATGATATTCTGTTCAACATGTTACTTTAACTTCTCATAGTTTACTGTAGACAGGCACAGTATATACAATAACTCAATTTAGCAGTTTCCTTAAATATCAGTCTTAAATGCAATCAATATTAGAACTTCATTATTCTCAGGGCTATAGACAATTGCTTAATATGTCAAGCAGAAGATCATTTCTGGCTGCTTTTTAGTGCCACCGTATCAGTCTTAACGCTGAAATGTTTAACCTTAACTGAGTTGCAATGTTAAGATTATGAAAGAAAGGCCACAGCTGATGCAAAACGGTTTGACAAATCATATACAGAGTTGGGAGAACTAACGTTAGGATATGTGAAGCGCACAGTGACAGAAATAAACAAAATGCATTTACAAAGAGTACAGAAAGTCAATATTTTCACAGCAATTTTCCGTTTTAAACGGACAAATACAACCCTATAAGCCTTGAGGATTCAAGTGTCTCTTTCACCGAACTAGCTTACTTCCGTTAGCTCATTCTAAAACACACTTCATTAAAAGTCGACACAAACAAAATAAAACTCACCAAAACTAACTCTAGGCGATGTTCCAAAAAATCCTATGATTTGGTTGAAATAAATCGTTAACCACCGGGCAAGATATAATGTTGGCCTCTCGTTAACAGGTGCTGCTCCTCGGATGCAGACCAAGATTAAACAACAACAACAAAAAACAAAATCCTAATATTGTTTCGGCTAGCCTATTCAAATCTAAGCATCACTGTATAACGAGACAAACTCCTGAGCGTTATATCAAACATTCTTGGCAATATCAATAAGATAGCCCCCACACAAGCAAAGAAAATAATAGACCGGAATGATGGTGATGAAGTCTGATGATATGCAGCACATGTCCACTAAATTGTCTGTCCTCTTCTGGAAAATTTCCAAAAAATACTGTAGTGTCCTGTAATTTAAAACATCAGCATACTGTTTACGGCCTCTGTACAGTTGCTCCAAGTTAAGAAGCCCACAATGCATTGCTAACTACAGTACTAAACTGTTAAACATAAAAACAGTATTTTAGTGTTGAAAATTGGCTGTAAATTTACAGCAATTGCTTACAGTGTACTCACTACAACTTCAATCTTCAGTCCCAAGATGAAGCTGCACGCACACTGGAATTCATTCAAAGGTGAGATGCACTATTCAAAGATGTTTATTCAATGTATTAAAATATAGTTTTATAGCAAGACTGCCAAGGAATAATTTATCAACTCTTAGAGTATAGGGGAAAAAATGTAGTTCTTTTTGTTAGCAGTTAATTTATCAATAACTTATACTGCAGCATGTTTTATATATGTACAACAGTTTATGGTAAAAATCTGCAAATATAGCTCCTGTGGAAAAAAAGTGTAAATAAACAGTAATAAACTGCTAATCCTTCATCAGTATTTTACTGTAAAAGTAGAAAATTACAGCTTTTTGCTGTATTTACACAAAAGGTAGCAGCAACAGCATGGTACCGTTAATTTTACAGTAAAATAATGGCAACCGTGCTTCCAGTTGTTTTCTGTTTTTTAACTGCGAAAACATTTTACAATGTAGTATAAACACGCTCTGTCAGAAGTTCACTTGAGTGAATTTTCGGCTTTAAACTGTAGATGTGTTATCCACATGATTAGCTCTCGTTTTTGTTGCTCCCGGTTTTTTTTTTATTTCCTAATTGTTTTGTCCGCGGCTGATGATGGGGCAATAAAACTCCAGTACAAAACAAACTGATTTGGAGTTTGGGAGGGGCAGTAGTAGTAGGCTGCTGCACAAAACGTACAGATACAGAGCATTTGAAAAAATCCATTGCATTTTCACAGCTGGGGGTTTCTGGTTCTGAAACCCCAAAAATAGAGAAATTTTAGTAATAGGCCTACCCATAATATATCAATGTGATTTCCTATGTGATTTCCTATAGGCCTATACCAATAGGCCTACTGACCAGTTCCAACAGATACTTAAATGTATGGACAGGAAGAAAACAAAACTGGGAATCGCTGAGTTTTTTTTCTTTTTGCGTATTCCTTATTGATACAATGAAATTAAGCTGCAACTGCTTGTTGTTGCATGCCATTTAAAAATGTTACCGATTTTTTCATAAATTTACTAAGATTCATGAAGGTAGTTATCAAGATAATAAGACAATGTTGAGTCCAATGTTTTTGAGGTGTTAAATAGACCCCACGAACTCCAGGAGTCCAAACAGAACATTATGGGGTTAATCAAACAAACAAACAAACGAAACAAACGAAACGAAAAACAAAAAAAACAAGTAGGGTGCAACACAATATAGTAGGGGAAGTAGAGGTAAAAATTTGCATGAAATGGCAAGACTTGAGAAAAGTGCAAGTACTTCAAATTTGTACAAAGTAAAAGTAGGCTATAGCCTTATCGAAAAGGTGTAGCCTACTTAAGGTATTTAAATTAAAGTACTCACAAGGGGTTTATAGATACATTTACGTGCAGCATTTTAATGTTGTGGCTGGTTCAGCTGAGCCAATTCTACCCATTTTGTATAGGCCTACTTTTAGGTATTTAACAATGTGCCATATTTTATATGCGCTTATGTTTTTACATTTTCAATCTGCAAAGTTAAGCTGCCCAATAAATGTGCAGTAAAAAGTCAAATATTTTCCTCTGAAATGTAGAGGTCATGTGGTGTAGTAGTCTAAGCAGGCGCCCCATGGGCCCAATTCGAGTCCCGCATGGGACGGCCCTTGCTGCATG